GAACTAAGTAGCAGGGCTGGCATCCCTCTCACCAAAGAGGTAGGGAGATACTTGGGCATCCAGACCATCCATGGAAGAATCACGAAGACCCGGTACCAGGACTTGATTCTCAGGATTAAAAAGAAGCTAGAACCGTGGAAAGCAAGGCGATTGTCTTTGGCAGCCAGGCTGACTATGGTCCGATCTGTATCCTCCGCTATCCCTACCTATCCTATGCACTCTGAACTTATTCCTATGAATGTGTGTAAATCGATAGACAAGATCAATAGGGATTTTGTATGGGGTAAAGAGGAGGGGCAAGGGATGATGCATCCTGTCTCATGGGAAAAACTCATCGAGCCAAAATGGTTAGGCGGAGCTGGCTTACGGGCAACAAGGCAAGCTAACCTGGCTCTTCTCGCTAAAGGAGGTTGGCGGGTTTTGACAGAAAAGGACAACCTCTGGACTCAAATTATGAGAGCCAAGTACGGAAAGCAAAGGGAAGCTTTGGACATTCTTCTGCCTAAACAGGGAAGTTCTTTTGCTTGGAGGAGTTTTATCAAAGCTTCTAGCATGCTTAAGAAAGGAGTTGCGTGGAATATTCATAACGGTAGGGGCACTAATTTTTGGCAGGACAATTGGGTTTTGCAGGTCCCTTTGATGACGGTGGCTTTGCAGCCGGTCCCATACGGGATGCTCTCCGAGGTGGTTGCTGACTATGTTGATGTGGAGGGAAGGGATGTCACTCGGCTAGAACAGTGGCTGCCAGCGGAGGTGGTTCGCAAGATCATTGCAATATCGGTGGACCCTCTTACGGCTGGTCCTGATACTCTTTTTTGGTCGGCATCTCCCAACGGCAGGTTCTCGGCAAAATCCGCTTACCTCATAGCTTATGCAGATAGAACCAGCCCGGAGGAGAAACTTTGGAGGAAGATTTGGCACCTTCAGGTTCCGGAGAGGGTCCGTTGTTTCCTCTGGTTGGTGACGTTGGGCAGGATCACAACAAACGAGCTTCGCTTCTCAAGGAAGTGTACCCCTTCTCCGAATTGTTACAGGTGCGAGGGTGCCTCTGAATCTATTCTCCATGTTCTTAGGGACTGCCCACCTGCTCTCTTTTTTTGGAGTCGTCAGGTTCCGGTGGCTGAGCAGCTTGCCTTCTTCTCGGCCAGCACGAAAGATTGGATTTCCAAGAACTTGTTGAAGGACGACGCTATTGCTTCAGGTATGGCATGGTGTGACTTTTTTGCAACAACCATTTGGCTCCTTTGGAAAAACAGGTGTCAGGGGTGCTTTGCGGGTTTGACAAGCACGCTCTCGGCCCCCTCCTTGGCGCACACTATTGTCCATAAATCCACGCTGTGGTATGCAGCCTGGAACTCTGAGGGATCATCCTTGATGCAATCTTCTACGCCGGTGGCAGCTCGGGTGAGTGCTAACATCGGGTGGTCTGCTCCTCAAAGGGGCTGGTTGAAGCTAAATATTGATGGCGAGTCGGCAGGGAACCCGGGCAAGGCTGGCGCCGGGGGAGTGATTCGGGATGATCAAGGCCGGTGGGTTGCTGGTTTTGTTGCCCAGATCGAGGAGGCCACGGCGGCGCTTGCAGAGCTGTGGGCTCTGTTTCATGGTGTGAATCTCGCGTGGAAGCATGGGTGCTACAACCTGGTTGTTGAAACGGACTCACAGTTGATTCTGCAGTGGCTCAGGAATCGGGCGGACCCTCTCCATCCCCATGCTTCGCTCCTGGCGTCGATTAGGAGGAGTCTTGCGCAGGATTGGCTGGTTAATATGGGGCATACATACCGGGAAGGGAATAGAGTCGCGGACTGGCTCTCAAAGCACAGTCTCGTCTATCCCTACGGTATGCATGAACTTATTGACCCGCTAAGAGGTGTGACTAGTTTAATTCAGGATAATGTGGTTGGCATTACGTTTGAGCGCCGTGTAGTTGCAGCGGCTAATCTGTAACCTCTCTCCTCTCCCCCTTTGTTTCTTGGCTTTTGCCTCCCGGTACGCAAAAAAAATGAATGATGTAATCTACATCACAACTATCAACATTGAATGTTGAGACATAATAAATGCTTTGACCATTAAACATTGACCGTCAAACTAAATTATGGGTTCATGTTTAAATTTAGAGTAATTTTACAATGCTATATAGTATTGGTGCTATAAGTTTTTTCTTTATGGTACAACTTGAAATTTTACCTTTAACATTATGGTACAACTTCAGATTGTACCTATACTTTTTTACAAATTCTTTTATGGTACAACTTAAACTTGCACCTTATGTGATGGTACAATTTCAAGTTGTAAAGTTGTATCATAACATAATGATACAAATTCCTTTATGGTACAACCTAAACTTATACATTTAATGTTATGGTACAACTTCAAGTTGTACATTTAAAACACCAATACTATATAACATAGTAGAAATACTCTTAGATTTATTTTAAAATTCAGATAAAACTATTTTATTTGAAATTCGGACCAAAATGATCTGTTATGCGAAAATACGTTATTTATTCCTCTCGGAAAAGAGAAAAGTTCATTGGTGGGATCAGAGCCCAATCGAATTCCGAACTTACTGTGCTAACGAGACCACCGTAATGTACCCTCCCTTCTCTCTTAACTGTCTTACTCCAACTCCAATCCTCAAACCAGTCTCGGAACCCAGAAGACCTTCACTGTTAAACTCGTAAGAACTCAACAAACTCCGCATAATAGTAATAATGGTGTCCTCGCTCAATACCAACCTACATCAACCTTCTCTCAGGTTCAATCCTCCAGCCATATTCCTCCCTCTGCTCTAATTAAAGTAAAGCGCAATAGAAATTTCTGTCCGTCTTTGGATTTTGATTTTTCATGGTTTCTGTTGTGCAGCTTCGGGACGAACCTTTATTCCGGATTGAAGCTTCAATCTCCAAGTTCTGCCCTTTAGAAAAATCCCTTCTCCTTTCTTGGAATTGTGCTTTACAAATTTTCCATTATCGTGATTGTGTGTTGTTGTTCTTTGCGAATTTGCAGGTGTTCATGGAATTGGGCGACCCAATGTCTCTGCAGAGTTCTTCGGCCGAGTCCATAAGAGCCTCCATTCCGGGTAAAGTTTGGAACTTTGAACTAATATCTCCGTTTTGGGGCTTGATTAGAGCTGAGACTATGTGCATGATTCGTAGAAGTTTGCAGCTCGAACATTTAGGTGTCTGCTTTCTTACGAGTTTTGAATCAGTGGCGTCTCATTTAAAGAATGATATATTGAACTGAACCATTTTGGGCACTATTTACTTATGATCAATGCTGGTGCTATCCTTTGCCTTCAGGATTCGTAATTCGAAACCGATTCGAGCTGTTAAAATGATGCCTATAGGCGAACCAAGAGTACCCTATAGGACACCAGGGGAGGGGACTTGGCAATGGGTCGATTTGTGGAACGCCCTCGTAAGTATTTTTTTGTTGAATGCGGTTAGTTCGTTGTAAACAAAACTTTCATCTTAATGACATTTTAGCATGTTTGATCAAAGAATGCATGTGTTAGCCTTTTCTCCAGCCTTTCCCCATTCCCTTAGATGGCTTGAAACCTTGCTGAATCATTTTGCTGCAGTATAGAGAACGAGTAATCTTCATCGGGCAGGAAATCGATGAAGAATTCAGCAACCAAATATTGGGAACAATGTTGTACCTTGATAGCGTTGATGAGTCCAGAAGGATGTATTTTTACATTAATGGACCCGGTGGAGATGTACGTGTCTCAACTTGAATGCTTCTATTTGGTGTTTGTTGTGCTCAAACTTTTTTTTTTTATATATATATACTTTCGAGCTAAGAGTGCATTCTTCTGTTTGCAGCTTACTCCCAGTTTAGCTATCTATGACACTATGCAGAGCTTGAAGAGTCCTGTTGGTACCCACTGTGTGGGGTTTGCCTATAATCTGGCAGGTTTTCTTCTTGCAGCTGGTGAAAAGGTTAGATTTAAGTGGCCTTCAGTTCAGTCCCTTAACTTGCTAAAATGTTTAACCACCCATTAACCTCCGGTTTCTGTGTGCTTAAGTGTTTGACAAACCTTTTGAAATTTTCATCCTGAATTTCATTTTCTCCTATGTTACATAGGGACAACGGTCTGCAATGCCTCTTTCCAGAATTGCTCTGCAGTCTCCAGCTGGGGCAGCTCGTGGTCAGGTACAGAAGGCTGCCATATGTTCTTTCATTGTATAAAACGCATTGTGGATATTTTTAACAAATTATGGATTCAATTGACATTTTTCTCACAGGCTGATGACATTCGAAATGAGGCTGATGAGCTTCTTAGAGTCAAAGACTATCTTTACAAGGAATTGGCAAAGAAAACCGGACAACCTTTCGAGAAGGTTGGTTTTTCACTACTATATGAATGGTTTTGCCTCGTGTTTTTCGGTTCATTATCACCGCTCTTAACGTAAGTGTTTGTGCAGATTGACAAGGACTTGAGCAGAATGAAACGCTTTGATTCTCAGGAGGCCCTCGACTATGGTCTCATCGACAAGATAATTCGGCCACCACGAGTTGACGAGGACACACGTCCCAAAGATGCAACAGCCGGTCTCGGTTAGTGTAGAATATTTATGATTCATGTTTGGCTATAGCTCTTGTCATGACTACCGTATGTTAGCCAGCTCCCTTGCACCATAGTTGTACCATTGGGAAAATCAGATGCAGTTTACTTGTACAATAAGTTATCCTGTTCCCGAAGCAAGCGTTATAAGTTTGATTTTAGATTATTGAACAATTTTTGGGTTGAGACTGCAAGTAATTGCATGGCTGTCGAACTTATTGTCATATTCAATCATTTGCATTTGGTTCCTTTGCCTCTTTTAGCATACCTTACACCAACCAAAAGCTGCATTCAAATTTTGGAGGCATTTCTTTCCTTGTAACCTAAAATGCAAATGAAAACTGTTCTGCCTCATGATATTGCCTGATCAAGAATCAGACTCTAATATAAAACAATGGGAAAATAAAAAATGAGATCCAAATTTGGATGATAAAACATGCATTCTATTTGATTCCGTTCTCTTTTTCCTTCATTCTCAAGAGGATTTACCAAAGTGAAACTGGAAAAATATTGTGAAGTTCAGAATCACTACGATCCAACTTGGTCCGAGAAATTGATTCATGTAAACCAAATTGCCCACTCCCTCTGGATGCGCTTACTACGCCATTCAGCTCATCATAACATCTAAAGGCACAAAGCAAAAACTGAAGCAAATGAATAGAATCGCATACAAAACTTTGAGGATTGATAGCAGAACTAGACACCAAAAGGAAAACCAGCCTTGTCCCATTCAATCAAACCATTTCCTTCTACTCTGTCTGGTGATCCCTTAACAATTCATCCCTCCATCCTTTAGTAACCTTTGTAATGAACTCTTCAGCTCTTTTTTCCAAATTACCATCCACCACTTCTCCGCCATCAACCTCGTACATCCCTTCATCATCATCATCATCATCTACTGTCACTCCCTCTTCTTCCTGCTTTCTCTCCTCTTCCTCGCAATCTCCTTCATCTTGCCACCCAACCTCGCTCTCGCTGCCATCATCATCGTCATCTTCGTCATAACCATGTTCCAACTCCTCGCTACCATCTTTGCTTTCACTATCAAGATCATCATCGTCCTGTGCTTCACAATACAGACCATCCTCATTATTGTTGTCATCATCATCATCATTCCTAACATCAGCATAACTCGAATAATCATCCCCAGCTCCTCCATACGACGACAACTGAAACGAGCTCCATACACCACCACCACCATCGACTTGGTCGTCATACGAGTCCCTGCTGCTGCTGCTGCTGCGGCTACCAACTGCAATGGCCAGAACCATGCTATTGAACAAGGAAAGCAGGAAGACAGGCGACGACAAGGTTGAAAGCAGAACAGCTGCCACCAAACACAAGATCAAGATCACTGAGATGGGCTTCAAAAGAAGAAGCTTCATGTGCAATCTGTTCTATCACCAATATGGTAAAACAGAGAAAATGATATGATTATGATGCTGCTAGGTCCTTTGAAGGGTCGACTTATATATATAACTGGATGATCAATTTAGTTTAACTGAAGTGTAAAGCATACATTCAGAGAAAGTGTGGATGAAACTATATAAGGTGTATGAATATGCGCTGCACGAAAATGAAGTTGAGTGAGACAAGTAATGTAGGCTTCCAAGCATTGTGAGGTTAAGTGGTGAAAGTTTCAGAAGCAGTTGCCTTTGCTTTGCCCCTATTTTGGAGCTAATAATATACAAAAACGTGTTATGCCCATGGCAAGCCATTAGAGCAAGCTGAGGTGGCAAAGTTCACTGCTATAGAAGTTTCTCATGGCTATTGTATCTCACTCAACAGAGTCTTCCTGTACGGCAATAAACAAACCAAAGTCTTTTCAAAATTATTAAAAAATGAAAATCCAAAGCATGATGTTATTATTATCTTTTTGTTTTAAACTAAAAACTTGTTTTCGAAGTAAACTCAGCTCTTGGGTGATCATCGTTTGGATCGGGTGGTTTTTACTATCTAAATTGACCGAGAAAGCTTTGAAGGCCGGGTTGGTGTTGCTGGTTGCTAAGCTGAGTTGTCTTGTTGGTACTTGAAAAGGAAACGGGGTGGCCCTTTGCTCTTTTGGGCTTGAGCAGATAGTTTGAGTGTTTTGGATTGAATAGCTTCATCGGTTTGTCCCTTTTCTGCAGCTCCTCTGCAGAATTTCAGTTTCTTTATCTTTCCTTTTCCATTTTACTTTTTGTACTCGTGCATTTTCAGTCTTGTTAATTAATTGAATGTCAACCTTATAAAAAAAAAAAACTGACCGATTTAGACAAGAACGGATTACTTAAAAAATACTCATTATCTATGTACATGAATGAGTGAGGTTAGATTGGGTATGTTGAGAATATGGAGACCGATTTATGGTATAAAAGATAAACGGGTTTCGCAGTATTATTTGTGGAGGATGTTGTTTACGCAATTTTTCAGAAATACCACTATAAAAAACAAAAAGTACAAAAATACAATCCAATCCGGAAAAAATACAAAAATACTATCATTGATTAAAAACCACCACATGGGGAGGCGGTTTGTGTGAGAACCGCATCGTGAGGTGGCGATTTAAATTATTTGTACAAACCACCCCTCTGAAAGTGGTTTAGTAGCTGACCTAGAACAGACCGCTTGTTGAAGGAGCGGTTCTACGTCGACAATAGAAACCGCTTCTTCAACAGGCGGTTTATGTTGTCGACATACAAACCGCCCTCTCCCCCCTAGCGGTTTGTGTGTAGTCCCCATTTCCCGGACAACTGACATGTCAGCATGCAGGGGTTGTAGACATGGGGTTGCATGTCTGGTGAAAACCGCTGGGGGACGGGGCAATTTGTACTTGACATTTTGCCTATAAAAGCCAGACCCGAAAACCTCACTCTTCCTATTCTTCTTTAAGTTTCTGTTTTGCGATTTGTGTTTTGAGTTTTAGCAATTAACGTTACTTTGTAAGTTTGTTTTGTATTACTTTTTATTGTAAGTTTGTTTTGCGATTAGCGCTGACAAATTTTATGTTATTAATTTAGTTACCGTTTTATTACAGATGGCATTTCAAAAGTTCACGTTTGGGTTGCGGTGGAATGGTTATACGGAAGAGACCAAAAAGATGTTACGTTACGTCAGTGGTAATTTTCACAAGTGAAGGTCGCTACGAGAGCGAACCTTGAAGAGCTCCGTCAAATGTGTACTGAGGTTAGTTGCATGGATGTCACGAGAAGAGTTGATTGTATGGTGTATCGATATCCAAACAGATAAATTCATTAACTAAAATGAATAGCATTTTCAAAAATTAAATAAAATTAAGTTTGTACACATACACATAAATCCATTATATTATTTTTGTAATTCGTATTGGCTATGTTTCAATAATTTAAAACAATACAAGTATGCTCGTTAGACTATTATGAGCGACATAAATCTCCTTAGAAACACAACTTTTCTGACAGAAAAATGAGGGATCCGAGTACTGGTTAAAACCCGATTTCCCCATGAAATGTAGAGGTGTTCAAACGGTTAGGTTACCATGGTAACCGTGTTAACCGGTACTATTTGGATAATTTGGTTTGGTTAATTTGGATAATTGGTTTGGTTTGGTTAAATTTTTTAGCTTGTTTGGTTTAGGTGGTTTGGTTTGGTTTCAGACACTCCTAACCAGTCAAACCAAATTAACCAGTTAAGTAATTAGTCATATATCTAACATATATTATATACACATAATACTTTGCATAACCACTCAAGAGCTAACGTTCATCCCTTTTAGAGTCATAAAATATAAAGCTCAATATTGCTCATATAGTGTATATTTGTATATGTGAAGTCTAGACCACAACATATGGACGCCTAATTTAGATAAATTTCATACATTATGATGAATGAAAACTTGAAAGGAAGGTCATTTCCAGCCTATGATAATTGCTAAGAGACTAAGTCAATTTACACAAACACAACAATTCATTAACCCATACCATTGTCATAATTTTTTGTTAGGTGAATACTTCTATACTAATCGTAAGATAATTGTCTTAGTTGCATGTATTTTTGTTAAGGGTCAACTATAACTACGTGTTGATTGTTATGTTTTATTCATTATATAAATTGCGAATTGTTGCATTAACCGGAAAATTTTCATCGTCAATGATAATGTGATTTTATATTGGTTAATCTGGTTAACCAATTAACCAAACCGATTAAACTTTAGTTTGGTTAATTTGGTTGTTGTATTAGTTTGGACGGTTTGGTTATGATATTGTATTCAATGGTTAATGGAATTTAGCCTTATTTGGTTTGGTTATAACCATGGTAACCATTTGAACACCCCTAATGAAATGGGATGATCATGATGATCTCTTAAGACCCCATTTCTTTAGGCATGCATCTCTTTATAAAGAGTCTAAATAAGTGACACATTGTATTATCCTAAATAATTGAAAATAATCAATACAATTAACAAATTTATTTTAAAAACCACTAACTTACATTAACATAATAAAAAATGACAAATGATGATAAATTATATGTACCTTGTGATAGTTCCAAACATCCCTTGAACGATGGTTATCTTGGTCATACAGCACAGATGGATCAATCGGTACTTGATCAACATAATATCTTTGATTGTATATATCCACGTCCTCCCAAATCTACGATAACATAACAACAACATAAATTAATTAGTATATAAGTACAATAAAATAATTATAACAACAACAAAAATATGGTAAAATAAGTATGTACCGCTTGATAGTTGATAGTCATCATATTAAATATCCTCCTCTTCGAAAATATCAACCATTTTTGCAGGAAGCCGAACATAGATTCGACGGGTTTTGAAGGAAAACCCAAAGAAATGTTTTCTTATTGCAGTTCAGACTTAGCCGCAACCAACATACCACTATTTCCTAGGTTTTTGGGTGGAGGGGGAGGGATAGGGAGATAATCTTAGAGAGAGAAGAATGAGTTTTGGTGTGAAGAATGAAGGAGGGGGAGGGGGTTTATATAGGATTTGGACCTCCTGCTGGGAGGAGGTTTTGTAATTTTGCACACACAATAACCGCCTCCTCCAGCCACGATTCGCATTTTTCAGGCCAGAAACCGCCCCCTCCACCTGTGATTCTTGATCCCTGACACGAATCGCTTACATGGCGCATAGTCCGCCCTTGGATCGCTCCCTAATCCAACGGTTCTGCAGATTGCCGCTTCCCTAGACGGTTTGTTGGGTGTCCTAAATTTTACCTTCTTCAGTAAACCGCACTTTTAGTGTGCAGTTTACCGCAAATGGTGTTAGTTTTGGAAAATTTTCGAAACAATGGTATTTTTGTAATTTTTTTTAATGATGGTAAATGTGGAAAAATCTGTTGATTACGAACTCGCATAAGAAAGGGACAAATTGATACTTTAATCAAATCTCGCATTATTAATTTCCATATTCTTCAATCAATTCCAAACATGGAATTTTTGCCAATTTCCACTGGCAATTCCCAAACTTTCTATAAGGAGAAAATTAAGTCAATTTCCACATTTTCATATTTCTAACAACCAAGTTTCCAGATTTCCACAATCAAGTTGGTGGGAATATCTCACTTAAGCGTCATTTGACAATCCCAACTTCCAAAACAGTCTGGATATAACACAACTAAAAGAAAGTGAAAGTCTGGGAGGGATCAAGGAAATGTTCCTCAATCTTCAGAAGACTCATAGTCAATAGATCCTTTAGCAGTATTAAACTCTGCAAATCCCAGTCGATAAAATAATCAAAATATGAAAATAGAAGTATCAAATATCAAAAGAATATTTACATGGGAGTTTGTGGGTTATCTAACCAATTTTAAAAATTTCCTATGATTTTTCAGATATAAACTTCCTATATGTTTTTAATTTAAAAAAATTAAAAAAATTTGTTTATGCTTACTGGTTATGTTTCTTGTCTTTTTTCAAAGAGACCACAGATCAAATCCAATCACTAGTGCATTTTTTCTGTAAATAAGAAAATAATAAATGACTATGAAGACGAATCAATCCTTCCTACTTTCGCTATGGATGCAGGGATTTTGTAATGGGTGAAGTACCTTCCCCATCTCAATATTATATTAGGTGTCCCGAAAGTAAGTGCGGTAGTTGAGTGTTTAGTGGGCCGACAACTATTTGGCCCGTTTACATTAGTAGCGTCTGCGATCGGCAAACCAACAACACTCAACCTTTCAATATTTGCCCTTTCTAAAATTGCTCTAGCGTAGATGGAGGAGGTTAGCCGGTTGTTGAATCCGATGGGAAGTGATGGCGATGAGTTTAGTGGGTCGGGGCTTTAATTGGGCTCGTTTACATTAGTTGTGTTTTTCCATCAGTGTTCCGCAAACCAACATCACTCAACCTATTCATATTTACTCCTCTCTTAAAGACACATGTGCCCCATATTCATCCAAAACTTTTGTGTTCAAAAATATCGTTGCTTTATGGTAGTTATAAAAATTAT